TATATATACACACGTGATTTCACATTTTCAGGTAGGGGGCGAGCACGCGTTCCCTACCTGCGCTGCTATTGGCTCCTCGGCATGTCAATCACCGGGTCCCGGCTGGGACTCTGATCATCGGCGCAGCTGACAGGGGAAAGATCTGTATGTAAACAACACAAATCTCTCCCGTCAGTACGAACAGGCTGCTTTGTATTGCTCCGCACAGAAGAGAAATGCAAAGCAGCTTGTGTACACAGTAAAACACACACAGCACACAGTTAACCCTTTGATCGTCCCAGATGTTAACCCCTTCCTGCCCAGTGTCATTAGTACATTGTCAGTGCTTTTTATTAGCACCGATCACTGTATTAGTGCCACTGTCAGTTCCCCCCAGTGTCAGAATGCCCGCCGCAGTCCCACTATAAGTCTGTAAGCGTGGTGCTAAATAAATATTTATTAAAATATTGTGGAACAGTCAAGTGCAACGTGTAAAGTGACAATCAATAAAGTCCATATATAAAACAATAAATAGTGTCTGTGGGACTACAGGGCACAGCAATCACGGTGAAGGAGAAAACTATGAAATGATCCAGTGACACCACCGCTGCCAGATGTAAACTCACCAGGAAGCTACTGGTAGAATAGCATGCATGAACATCACATCAGGAAACAGCCAGAAGCCTCTGTCATGGGCTGCTCCGCCACAGGCAAACTGAAGGTGGACCCTCTTCCCTGGAGGTTGTATTTGAGGATGAAGAATCAGACATATTGAGTGTTTCTTAGAGATGAACTTCGAGAATAGTCAAAGACTGCTTAGCAACCAGCAATTGCTGTGTGAAGTGGTTTTGTACAGAGCAGCTTGGATCCTCCTCTGCTATACAATCACGACCCACTGATTCACTAATCGCCGCCATTACTAGTAAACACAAAAAAAACAAAAACATTTCCAGTATACATACCACCATTTGTAAACGCTATAACTTTCACACCAATTAATTTACACATATTGGGATTATTTATTTATTTTTTTAGCAAATACATGTAGCAGAATACATTTTGGCCTAAATTTATGACAAAATTAGATTTTTTGCATTTTTTTTTATTGGACGTGTTTAATAGCAAAAAATTTTAAATACTATTTTTTTTAAAAAATGGTCTTTTTTTGTTTATAGCGCACAAAAAATAAATGCACAGGTGATCAAATACCACTGAAAGAAAGCTCTATTTGTGGGAAAAAAAAAAAAAAAAAAAAAAAGGACAAACTTCATTTATGGTTTGCGGCGCTCCATAGTGATTTCCTGCTATTTGGAAGGGATCTTTGCCACTCCACTTCTACAAATGAAATAAGCCTTATAACATGAGCCTTTGTGCCCATTATTGAAGCCCGAGTATATTTTTAAACATGTGAGTGCATAGAAGGCAGCTTTTTTTTTTTTTTTTTTTTTAAATTAAAGATTTTTTTTACAGTATTGCACTATTTGTTGTTTTTGTTTTGTTTTCCATTGTCATCCAATCGTGGGAGTCGTTTCTGGAGGATATTAAGTACAGAGTTATCTGGGAGGACACGCTAAGTCACTATAAGCTTCTTTGACTCTTTTGCCATACCAGTAAAGAGTCCACTCCATCTGGTGAGTGTGGATAGAGCAGGGGCGGACTGACAACTCATGGGGCCCCCGGGCAATAGGGAATCATGGGGCCCCTGAGTCCTTGCCCAAACTCAAAAAAAGCCTATGAAAAAGGTACCAGGGGCATCTCATGGGGCCCCCTACTGACCCCGAGTTTCCAAATGGTCAGTCCACCCCTGGGATAGAGCATTAATCACGGATAGTGGGAGCACATTTGTTTGAAGAATTTTGGAGCACCGTTTTTTTTTTTTTTTTTTTTTTTTGGGATTGAGCACAATTCATATATTTTGAAAAAAATTTTTTGTGTGGACTCTATTTTTGTGGACTTTTATTGATAGTATTTAAATTTTTATATATAATTTATTTGCGCCGTGGAGTGTTTATAATTTTATTGGATTGATTTTTAGAACAGCAGCATTTAAATTTATATACAGTCAGGTCCATAAATATTGGGACATCGACACAATTCTAACATTTTTGGCTCTATACACACCACAATGGATTTGAAATGAAACGAACAAGATGTGCTTTAACTGCAGACTGTCAGCTTTAATTTGAGGGTATTTACATCCAAATCAGGTGAACGGTGTAGGAATTACAACAGTTTGCATATGTGCCTCCCACTTGTTAAGGGACCAAAAGTAATGGGACAGAATAATAATCATAAATCAAACTTTCACTTTTTAATACTTGGTTGCAAATCCTTTGCAGTCAATTACAGCCTGAAGTCTGGAACGCATAGACATCACCAGATGCTGGGTTTCATCCCTGGTGATGCTCTGCCAGGCCTCTACTGCAACTGTCTTCAGTTCCTGCTTGTTCTTGGGGCATTTTCCCTTCAGTTTTGTCTTCAGCAAGCGAAATGCATGCTCAATCGGATTCAGGTCAGGTGATTGACTTGGCCATTGCATAACATTCCACTTCTTTCCCTTAAAAAACTCTTTGGTTGCTTTTGCAGTACGCTTTGGGTCATTGTCCATCTGCACTGTGAAGCGGCGTCCAATGAGTTCTGAAGCATTTGGCTGAATATGAGCAGATAATATTGCCCGAAACACTTCAGAATTCATCCTGCTGCTTTTGTCAGCAGTCACATCATCAGTAAGTAAAAGAGAACCAGTTCCATTGGCAGCCATACATGCCCACGCCATGACACTACCACCACCATGCTTCACTGATGAGGTGGTATGCTTAGAATCATGAGCAGTTCCTTTCCTTCTCCTTGCTCTTCTATTCCCATCACTCTGGTACAAGTTGATCTCGGTCTCATCTGTCCATAGGATGTTGTTCCAGAACTGTGAAGGCTTTTTAAGATGTCGTTTGGCAAACTCTAATCTGGCCTTCCAGTTTTTGAGGCTCACCAATGGTTTACATCTTGTGGTGAACCCTCTGTATTCACTCTGGTGAAGTCTTCTCTTGATTGTTGACTTTGACACACATACACCTACCTCCTGGAGAGTGTTCTTGATCTGGCCAACTGTTGTGAAGGGTGTTTTCTTCACCAGGGAAAGAATTCTTCGGTCATCCACCACAGTTGTTGTCCGTGGTCTTCCGGGTCTTTTGGTGTTGCTGAGCTCACCGGTGCGTTCCTTCTTTTTAAGAATGTTCCAAACAGTTGTTTTGGCCACGCCTAATGTTTTTGCTATCTCTCTGATGGGTTTGTTTTGTTTTAGAGCCTAATGATGGCTTGCTTCACTGATAGTGACAGCTCTTTGGATCTCATCTTGAGAGTTGACAGCAACAGATTCCAAATGCAAATAGCACACTTGAAATGAACTCTGGACCTTTTATCTGCTCATTATAATTGGGATAATGAGGGAATAACACACACCTGGCCATGGAACCGCTGAGAAGCCAATTGTCCCATTACTTTTGGTCCCTTAACAAGTGGGAGGCACATATGCAAACTGTTGTAATTCCTACACCGTTCACATGATTTGGATGTAAATACGCTCAAATTAAAGCTGACAGTCTGTAGTTAAAGCACATCTTGCTCGTTTCATTTCAAATCCATTGTGGTGGTGTATAGAGCCAAAAATGTTAGAATTGTGTCCATGTCCCAATATTTATGGACCTGACTGTATATTTTTCTGTGGCGCAAGTTTATATTTATTTTGTTTTATTTATGTACAACGTTGCATGACCGCACAATTATCAGTCAAAGCAACGCAGCACCATATCGCAAAATATGGCCAGGTCAGGAAGGGGGAGTCCTCTGGAGGGCAAGTGGTTCAACATACTGAGAATACTCAATTCGAACATCTACTAATGTATGGCTAGCTCTAGTACACAAAGGGGGTTGATTTACTAAGACATGAGAGTGCAAAATCTGATGCAGATCTGCATAGAAGCCAATCAGCTTCCAGTTTTTTTTTTTTTGTCAAAGCTTGAATTGAACAAGCTGAATTAGAAGCCGATTAGCTACTATGCACAGCTGCACCAAATTTTGCACTCTACGGTTATAGTATCCATAATACTGCCACCCCCCCGTACTACATCACTGACCTAATATCCAAATACCACCCAAAACGCACTATCCGCTCCTCACAAGACCTCCTTCTCTCTAGTTCCCTGGTCTCCTCCTCCCATGCCTGCCTCCAGGACATCACCCATCCTCTGGAACTGCCTACCCCAATCCATCAGACTATCACCTACTCTCCTCTCCTTTAGGCGCACCCTGAAAACCCATCTCTTCAGGGAAGCCTACCCCGCCCCCTGCTAATTGCCGATCTCCTCCACTCTTCCTACCACTCCATCCCCCACAGTTTTTCCTCCTGTACCACTATCCCCTCCCTCCTAGATTGTAAGCTCCAAGGAGCAGGGCCCTCGAAACCCTCGTGTATCGCATTGTATTGTTGTTGTTCTGTCACATGTTCTGTCCCCCTTTGTAATGTACAGCGTTGAGCGAACTGTTGGCACTTTATAAATACTGTATAATAATAATAATAGTAAATCAACGGTATCATAAGGTATGTTTGCCCGTGTAAAACATCGCAGACTTTCAGCGTCAGACCGTTTTTAGAAATGAACCACAACAAGTTTACAGTCAGCCAGATAATTCTTTATCTTCACACTATAAATAATTTACAATGAAAACCAAAATAAATAAAGTGCTTTTCTAGGTGTTTGCGCCAATATACAAAATAGACCAAATGTCTACGAGATTGGTGTACAACGCCATGCAATTTAGAATCACGTAAAATAAAAACAGCATTTAAATGTATGCCATGCCTACTACTGGCCAAGACATTCTATAAAGGCTGTATAGAAGGACAGAAATAGTGAGGTTTGTTTTTGCAACATACATTAAGACATGCAGAGACAAACCAATAAATAGAAAGCAAAAAGGAGGTCATCGTTCATTCACTGCTATCGGTAGGATTGAAGGCTCACGGGTCAGTTCTCAGATTTTTCAGAAAACAAAGCGAAGCGCTCCTCGCAGGTCTGGGTTTCCACTGAGCTGAACTGAGACTCCATTGTATTCCATGCCAGATCTGCCAGGAGAAAGTCATCCATAGCAGTCTGGGTTTCATTGCTCGTAAGAAATAAACTTCCAAGAGTCTCAAAGCAGCTGTCAGTGGTTTGTGTCTGGGCGCTGTTCTGCTGTACGTGGCTCTCCAGCGCAGGGCACGGCACATTTTTGCTGGTTGAGGCTCCATCTGCATGGCTTTCTGCATCAGAAGAATCTGTGCTTATCGAAAAGCTAGACTGTTTCAAGAGACTGCCCAGACGCAAGGGAGAATTACGGTCCAGAAAGAGATTCAAGTCCGTCTGGGTTTGAGTATCGAACATTTCCATCCCCAGCAGATTGGAACTGCCTTTGTTTGAAAACGACTGTGTTGAGTCATTAGAAAACAGAAAATCGGTTTGCGTTTCAATATCCAAATATTCAGAATTCAGGTTGCTCAGCATGCTCTCTTCGGTCTGGGTCTGGATATTGGATGCTGAAAAAAACTCATCGATGTCAAAATCGATGCCGGTGTTGGGGGTTACAGTTAGAAGATAGATGGGGTTCTCCAGCGGACAGCAGATTGCGATTATCCAATGGCTGGCTGGATATATTGTCAGATAGGATTTTTTCGAGGTCACTTAACAGCTCCATAGTTTGGGTTTGGTTATCAGTCATGTTTTGGGGTGGGAAGGTCCCATTTTGTGTGTTGAAATTAATGAAAGAGGGAGCTTTCATTTCCTCCACCCTGATGTCCTTCATGGCATCTGCACTCAGTAGATTTTGCCCCAAGGTTCCTGGGATGTAGGTACTGTCTGGTTGGCTTGTTTGTGTAGACACAGTGTAAAAGGAATTCGTGTTATTGAAGATATTATCACAGCTGACTGCCTGGTCCACCAGCATTGGGTTCTCTCTCAGCAGTGAGGCACTGCTCGTTTGAGTCTCCCGAGAGATTCCACAACTGAGACAAGGACTGACCTCGGAGACCTCTGGATGAGATTTGGGGGCAAAAGAAGAATAGTCCTGCAGTGTTTGAGTCTCTACACTGATGGGCAAAGTCATCTGGGCAGTAAAGGACAAGTCTGTTTGGGAAGAAGATGAAATGCTAGACTCATTGGCAGCCCAAGAAGTACTGGGTAAAATACTGGGGGTAAAATAGGATAAGTCCGTTTGAACATCAGATGTGATTTTGCCTTTAGGCAACATACCATTGGAATTTGAGTGAGAGTCATTGGGCGATAGTCTCCCCATATTGACTTGTACATAAGAATTAGCAGCTCCTAGACAACCAGCTTGAGGGAGGTTACTAGATGACGTCTCAGCACCCAGACTTGGCAGGACTGTTCCATTATGAGGTACGAATTGCAATGTACTTATGACTGGTCCACGACTATTAACCGCTACCACTACAGGTTTCATAGGACAGTCGCTGGCCGGGACTAGGACAGGCAGGTGAGCCAGCTGCATGACTGGTAATTTAACTACTGCTAACTTAGGCTTTGGTAACAAGAGTTTTTGTGCTTGACTTGGCTGTAGAGGAGTGTCCCCTGTAACATAGGATGCAATGTAAGTGTCACTTGCAGGTGATGCCTTTAACTCTGCCATCTGCTGGTCAAAAGTCATAACTGCTTCAGGCTGATCGTTTTTGACAGCACACTCCGAATTCACAGCTTTCTGGTTCTGTTTTAATGCATCCAGTTTTCTTTTCTTTACAGGAGGGTCCCTGTGAAAATAGTAAGATATTATGTGAAAGTAATCATGGAAAAGGCAGGGGTTAAAATATTTAATAATTAAAGGGCTCGCCTATCTCCGTGTTCACATCACATACCCCACCTGCCGAGCGGTGCCGGAAACGAAAGGGTTTCTTCAGTGCTCCCTGCCGGTCCCTCCTGTCAATCCCAGGTGCTTGTATGTAAAATCACCTGGGATTTACAGGAAGAGGAAAAGCCAGCGGAGAACAATGTGCCAGAAGGGAAAAGATCCCAGCCGCTTTCCTGCCATGCTCTGCTCTGGTGATGGAGACCTGAACTATAATGCACCGTGCCCATTGTTGTGGCTCATAATGTGCCCAGCCGTGCCCCATAACATGCAGAGCCATGCGCCATATCGTGCAGAGCTGTGCTGTGTGCCCCATTATGTGCCCTTATGTAGATGTACCCTGCCCCCACCTAATATGCCCTGCTTCCATGTTATGCAGTGTGCCCTCCTGAGCCCCTGTACCCTGCCCTTTTCCCCCCCATACACCGTTTATTTCAAGCATTTCAAGCCACATTTTTGTATATGTCTCGATCTCATTTAAATAGCCTTTTTATAAGTCATCAAATAATCTCTGTTCTCAGCTGCTTAAAGGACGCTAAACTGTTTAACCACTTGGCAACCATGTTATAGCTACAGTGAGATTGTGCAGTCATGGGAGGACGTCATGACGCCCTCCCGCGCGCCCCCAGCGACCTCCGTGATCGCTGTGTCTGTAGGACACAGCTGATCACGTGATATGGTAAAAGGCCAATCTCATCGGCCTTTTACCACGTGATCAGCTGTGTCCAATGACACAGCAGATCACCGGGTAAATACAGTTGCCGGTTATTGGCTGCACTTTCCGCCGTCACAGTGCTAGGAAAGTACTGCCGATAACCAGCAATTGTCAGAGAACAGATTGGCACTGATCATCAGGGCACTGATGATCAGTGCCCATCAGTTCCATCCTCTTGTTCCCATCAGTGTCACCCACCTGTGCCTATCAGTGCCACCCACCTGTGCCCATTGTCAGTGCTGCCCAGCAGTGCCACCTATCAGTGCCCATTTGTGCTGCCCGTCAGTGCAGCTTCATCAATGCACATCAGTGAAGGAGAAAAATTACCTGTTTGCAAAATTTTATAATAGTAACAAAGAAAAACTTTTTTTCTCAAATTTTTTGTTCTTTGTTTTGTTTATAGCACTCAATGTGTTGCAGCGGCTTATGCAACTGCAACTGTACATACTTCTATGGGCTCACTATACCCCGGTCTGATTGTGCAAATATGGGCCTACTAGTCACTCCTACATGAAGTACATGCTGCCAGGACCACAGGGACCTAATCCACTTACTATGGTGATACCCAATATTGCACATATACTGGGCAGGAGTAGTTAATGCCGTTTTCCAGCTCTCCATTTCATGCAAACCTAATCTGTGCCTATTGGGCATACTAGATATCCAATTTCCAGCTTCCACTAGAGACGCAGTGGCTAGAGCTCTCTTTCAAGTCTGGCGAGTTACCCTACAGCATTAGAAATCTCCCAATTCCCACAAAGAACGGATACAGCGTATGGGAGAAACCCTTAAGTTTGAGAACTACATATATCCACATAGAGGGTGCTCCCATAAATACGACAGACAGACAATCTCTGGGGCCCATGATTGGACACTCCGAGTTTGAGCCCGCAGGACTTGTTCATGGATAGGCTCCTAGAAGCTTAATGTATACTTCTCTGATGATTGGTATTAGATGGTGGCTGAATACCTAAGTGAGGTTGCTTAAGCTGCCAAAGTCTGTCACTCGCAATGACACCTGTAAGGTCTATGATCAGCTCAATGGTCTTGTTTTGGCACGCCCAGTCTGTGTTCATGCCGCATTCTGATTCTATACATTGAATGGCTACTTTCTGCAATGGATTTGAATCTGCTCTGGAATTGCTGCATATTTTCCTCATTTTCAATAAAAAAATTTCTTGATTAAAAAAAAAAAGTGGCACTAAACAATATCCCTCTTTTCCAAACATACGCCATGCACATCCAATACCTAATGGTCCTGTAAATTTCCTATTAAATCATTTCTTAATGTGTTTTTCTGCCTCCTTGTAACGTCCTTCATGTGCTTCTGAACCTCTTCTTCGGTACAATGTGCAGTGCATAATAGTTGCAGTCTTGCCTACTGCTCTATGCACACTACACATCCTGTAGTCTATCTTAGCAACAAAAAAGGAACTTGAAGATCTGGAGAAAGCTGAGAGCAATAGATTTTTTTTTTTTTAAACCCCAACCCATCCCCTATTCAGTAAGAGCAAGGCTGCAAATCACAAAAGGGAATGGGAAGGGGGCATGAGGCTGATTGAAGTTTCACTAAAGCTTTTCATTCATTAAGGCCTTGATCCTGTGGTTGTGTTTAGGTGTATGCCCATTTTTGCCCACATTTTTTTTATTATTATTATACGGTATTTATAAAGCACCAACAGTTTGCTCAGCGCTGTACATTACAATGGGAGACAATACATGCGACAGTACAATAACAATACAATGCGATACACGAGGGGTTCGAGGGCCCTGCTCCTTGGAGCTTACAATCTAGGAGGGAGGGGATAGTGGTACAGGAGGAAAAGCTGTGGGGAATGGAGTGGTAGGAAGAGCGGAGGAGGTCAGCAATTAACAGGGGGTGGGGTAGGCTTCCCTGAAGAGGTGGGTTTTCAGGGTGCACCTAAAGGAGAGGAGAGTAGGTGATAGTCTTATGGATTGGGGTAGGGAGTTCCAGAGGATGGGTGACGCCCTGGAGAAGTCCTGGAGGCGGGCAAGAAAGGAAGAGACCAGGGAACTAGAGAGAAGGAGGTCTTGTGAAGAGCGGAGAGTGTGTTTTGGGTGGGTGCACATAAGGATGCACGGGTGTTCCATGTATCTCCATGCAGGCACTCCTATTGAGGCCAGCTGGGATGCAACAGCTTCATGGACACAACCACAGTCCCAATTTGACAGCTGTGTGGATGTGCAGCCATGAACATGCAATGTCTGCGTTTAGGGCTGCACACTGCATAGCCCCATACAAAGACAATGTGTGTTCAGGGCTCGACACCCGCACAGCTGTCAATATGGGAGCAACAGTTGCGTACATGCAGCCTCTACATCCAAATTGACATGAATGGGACTGCTTGCCTTGGGATGCATGAACACCTGTGCATCCCTGTGTGGGAAAACACGGCCCTCACATGGGGGTACGCTCAATGAGGCCTAAAATGGTCTTGAAATAATCTTAGCAGACGTTTAATCAATTAGGGTTTATCAATATCCAGCTAGTAATTCAAAGCTTTTTCACCTGTGTTCCAGGGGAACTTCGTGACCCATTCTGTGAGTATGCGATAAGAGGGCAGTTCTGCTGGTGTAAGGACATCCGCAGGTGCACTTAAAAGTCTTTCCACAGTACCCAATATGCCGCTTTAAGTCCCATTCTGTGCCATAGGAGCTTCCACATTTTTCACATTTGTGCTTTTTCTCCGCATGCATTTTCATAAAGTGCTGAAATGCAAAAAATACTGATTAAAAAAAAACAAACAAAAAAAAAAAAAAAAAACTTTCTTAGAACTACTGTACAAAAGCTATACAGCACCAACTCTTCTGCTGCAAGAATTAAACAAAAAATAATTCTGCATAGGCAGAGGGATACAAAAGTGTCAAATACATGTAAGATGTAGCACTTCCATACTAGCTGTGAGATTAATAAATATCCCCAACACAAACTCAACCTGAAGAACCACACAGAGGCCTGGGATTACGTACTTTGAGGATGAAATAACTCTTAATCAGAAAAATCACAAAAAGGTAAGCCTACAGTGTATGCATAGCCAACATTTTTTGCAGTTCTGAATACAGTAGGGTACTCCTGTCAACTTTTTATTGCAGTCTGGGTCCTGGCTTTTAGGCCATACATACCTACCATTGGTCAGGAAGGTTCACTGGCTTACTGATGGTGACAGCAATGGTCAATGCCTGGGTAGGCTGTGTTGAAAAAGCCCCTGGCTAGACTCCACTGGAAGCCCATATGATAGGGCAACAATACAGGAGCACAATCAAGAGACAGGGATGGTGAGTGGTCAGTAAGCCAAGAGCTAAAAAAAAAAGGTCCTTAATTACAACATTACCGAAGATTGTACATCTACAACCACATTTTAGTTTTATTATTGGATAGAGTAGGAAAGAATCAGAACTATGGTCAGGTTTTACTGCTGTTTAACCCTTTTCTCAAAGAACAGGAAGTGAAAAAAATTAAAATCTAATAAACCTGATAGAATGGAGAATGGGTAAAACCCCTATCCAAAATATGTTTTTCAAATGGAATTAACAAGTTCACATTTAGTAATATATTACACCAGTATATAACATGGTACGAAAGCAGCAGCCCCACTAACCCCCCCCCCCCCCATGACAGAGGGCGGGGATCCTCTCCCACAATTTAAAAACAGCATGGCTGTGTGGGGCTCCACCCACATAGCATGTCATTCATAGAGCTCGGAAGCGCTCTTGTAGTTCATTGACAGTTCCTGTACTTCAGTAATTGCCTGCTTGTATTGGAGCTAATGGCAGACAGCTGTACTGAGTGTCTGCAGGAGCTCGACATTGCACCCATGATCTGCTGATCACAGTGGCAACGTTCTGCCAAAACAAAAAAATATTATTATTATTATTATTATTAATAATAATAATATTATAGTAAATGCACATTTTTTTTACCTGCAAAATGTGTATGTATTTTACTTAATTTATTTTAAAGGATAAATACACCTTAAAAAATAAAATAAATAAATGCACATTTTTTTGCGGGTAACAAAATGTGCATTTAATATTTTTTGTTTGTGGAGCCTCTAAAAGCACTGCACCAGCGATGAGCAGATCACTGGTGCCATGCAGATCTCCCCCTGATTTGTCAATGTATCTGCTTGCTCGTACATCCCATACGGGCAAGCAGATACCCTATTGACAGGAAGGCTCAATTAACTACCATGACGCTGTGGAGCACTGTGGTCGCTCACAGAAAACTACAAGCCGACAGCCACCACAAAGGCTGCTGGGACTTGTATTTTTCCCTTTCAAAGAATACTGTGAATGAGCTACGCAGCCGGGCAGGAGGAGCCCCGCACAGCTGCGTTTTTTAAAAAGCATTGTAACAGCTAGCAGGGAGGAGAAGATCCCCCGCTAGCTGTCATGATGGGGATCGGGGGGGGGGGGGGGGTCCGATCATAACTTATCCTTTACATGAACTTAGCCTTTAAAGCTTATATGATATTTTAGAGACTAGGTTTACATCCATGCAAAATCATTACCCCAGATCTGCAGCCAGCAGAGTTCTTTAAATTCTGTAGCATTTTGGTTGGACTTTATGCTGGTCTTACATCCAGGCAAGTTCAACTGCGTTCAACCAGCTTTCAAATCACAAAATAATCTAATGGATCAAGGTAATCTACCACCAAGAAATCTGTTGGCAGCAGGTTGCCTTGATTAGCTTGGCTATTTTGAGAGTGAAAGCTGGCTGTAAAAGCGTACAAAGTTTGTACATTAGCACACGTTTACACTGGTATGATGCTCCAATAGAACATCTTTATTATTATTATTATACAGGATTTATAGAGCGCCAACAGTTTGCTCAGCGCTTTACAATATAACGGGAGACAAAACTACAACAATACAGTTCAATACAAGAGGGTTAGGAGGGCCTGATCCTGGGAGCTTACAATCTAAGAGCATTGCACTTTATGCTATAAATGTTTGCAGTGCGATGAGGAGCCAACATTTTAAATCAGATACATTCTTTAGCTTTTCCTTCTACTTAGTGGCAGTTTTGGAATTTTTTTCTGAAAACACATTTTAAAATAGAATAACCCTTTAGCCTGGGTTCCAGGCTTAATCTGAATGGGTCACAGCTAAAGAATACATTTTAAACTCAATATAAAAGCTCATACCTGCTTAACACGAGAAAACTGTGAGAAGGGTCTATTTGTGCCTCTTGGACAACCCTCAACCGGACAACAGTATAGTTTCTGTGATGCTTTTAAGTCTTTCCGTAGTGTGGGATTGGATATTCCTTCCTAGGAAGAGGAAAAAAAAAGACAAAATTAAATTTAGGATTAATGTCACAAGTGACACGCAGCAGGATATAGATAAAAAAGGTTATTAAATAATTTAAAATATTTAACAACACACAGGCAGCAATTAGAAATGTACTTTAGCAGCCTAATCTATTTACCCTAAATTGCCCATAAACTGGCTGATTTTTTTTTTTTCGATCTATAGTAAAGAATCAGAACCTTGCCGGTTCTTCCTATGTACTCACCAGATGCACAGTTAATCTGCACATTTACAGACAATATTCTTCCTGCACTCACCAGATGCACAGTTAATCTGCACATTTAGAGACAATATTCTCTATGGATGAACTGAACTGAAGGCTCCTATGTGGATAGATCTGGTCTGGTCAGGTGTTCCCCTTACTGCTCACTCCTGCTGTCAATATGGCTCTATCCCTCCTTCCATGTAGCTCTGTGGTTTGTTAGAATTGGAAAATGATGCCCATCGCACTCACACATTGGCATGCACTGGTTCTATTGTAGTCTCTTGGCCATGCGTTTTCAAGATGGCGGCCGCGGCTCCTCACAGCGAAGGCGGGGCGCTACTCTGCAGATGTTGGAAGGTCCTATATTGACAGCAGGAGTGAGCAGTGAGGGGGACAACCTGACCAGACCAGATCTATCCATATAGGAGCCTTCAGTTCATCCATAGAGAATATTGTCTCTAAATGCGCAGATTAACTGTGCATCTGGTGAGTGCACAGTTTTTACAATATCGGTTATTTCACCGTTTTGGATGGAGCATCGACTACTGGAGATAATTTGATCTCCCATATTCACACTGGGACAATATTCAAGCACCATAATAACACCACTGGTCACTCAAATAGTGACGGACTACATGCTATCACGGAAGTAATTTTATTTATAAGAATTTTGGCACTTTTTCACAAGTTACTTTATTTTTATGATGATTTATTAATATTGGCATATTTTATACATTGAGCTTCTATATTATTGGTTGGAATATTTAGCACTGCACCTTATTTATATTCACCTCTACTCCTGAGTGTCTTCTGGCTTAACTCCTTCTTTCCCTCGTGCCACTTAATTAACACACAAAGTGTATATGGTCACAGCAGTCAGGGTGTACCCCAGTGTAACAATTTAATTTTGCAATCTCTTAACAGTACAATTTCATTTAAACATCACTGGAGTGTCGTACCTGGCTTTTCCCCTCGGTAAATAGTGCCCAAATCACAAACCTGGCTGAAACAAATAACTTGACAGGTAACATAGTTCACATATTTATTTTCTAATGTAAGAAAAGTTGAAATTGAAGCACCACACCACTGCTAAGAAGTCCAGATACAGCTTTGTTCCATTAGGACATGGGTTTAATTCAAGAAGTATGGGGGTCCAAGTGCCCCCTTCATCGGGGCTTGACAGGCAACAAAGTGAACAAACCAGAAATGAACTGGACCTACAATTTTATTTATCCCAGTGTGAATTGAAATCACAGGCCTGATCAGCAGCTTGTTTGGCAGCAACTTGGAGATCCTGTGGGGTGTAGAAGCTGCCTGCCCAGGAACCAGATCATTTACACCAACATTAATACCTTAAAGTGGTTCTAAAGACTTCAGGTTTTTTACCCCCTCCCCCCCAACACTTGCCTGAGCCCTATCCCAATCCAGCGATTTCCATGAGAGCCTCAGTGCTCCGTGGACTCACTCCCTGCTGTCAATCACAGCCAGTGAGCCAATCAGGAGAGGGAGGGGGAGAGGCCGAGCGAATGGACACGCAGAGCCAGAGCCCCGGCTCAGGAGCGTGCCTGCTCAGGTACCCCCATAGCAAGCTGCTTGCTTTGGGGGCACCCAACAGGAGGGAGGAGCTAGGAGCAAGTATGACATGTTTGTTATTTGAAAATAAATAAAAAATAAACCTACTGGTCCAGCACGATCTTTCCACTTTCCTCACATAATACATTTGGCTGTGCACATCATTGTTTTCTAGGGGGTTCAGTTTTAACTACTTGTCTACCATTGTCTACATTCATGAACAGAGAGATGGAAGAATGTTTATTTCTGCAGTTACATTTATAAACGGCACTGCAGAAATAATCCTCGGCAGCAATTGGTTGCATCGGATGGCTTACAGGCTGATCCAAGCAGCGCTGTACCTTCCTACCTGACCAATCACAGTGATCACAAATGTAAACCGTACTACTGTTTACATTTGAGAGCCCATCCCTTCCTCTCACAACGGAGCAACTTAACGAATGGTCATTCATTACTTCCGGACTGCAGGCAGCAGAAGATTTACGCTGCTTTCACACTGATCCAAAAAAAAAAAAAAAAAAGGGAGGAAGAAAAAACGTGCGTGTGACCATGTATTCCTATGGAACACTTCACACTGATCCATTGCATTTATTAAAACCATGCTTGCTGCACCTCCTCATTGATATTAATGGAAAATAATGCAAAAAATGCATCAAAAACTAACCCAAGTTGCATTTTTACAGCACATGCAACCCAAAAACCACACCAAAAATGTGGCAAAAACTATGTGTTTTTGCCATGGATCAATATGAAAGTAGCCTTAGGGTAGGGGATTGAGAGTGTGGAATGGTCTTATAACCCTTTCACCTCACCCTCCTTTCCTGTACATAGGATATCCACCACCTTCTCCCTCTGTATATGACCTGTACAGGCAGCATCTACTACACCATTACAAAGCTCAACTCAAGACCGGCATGTTTATTCATATTCTAAAAAGAGTGGAAAAAATTAGATCACCATTCCTTTATAAATTAAAAAGTGGTCATGAAAGATCACTAGAAGCATGCTCTGTCTCAAACATTATATAAAATTCATTCGGGGACAATGCTGCACAACAGTAAACGTCACTCAACTATCACAGCACTGAAAAGTGAAAAACGGCATGATATTGAAGGGGTATATACAGGCTGGTGCTCAAGTGGGTGAAGGAGGGATGAGAACCAACAAAAGCCCACTATGAATAATAGCTCACATACTAGATACATAAATATAGATCTGGCATCACTGCATTCAATGAGATGGTCCGCAGCACCTGCTCCAGAGCCAAATGTCTAGACCAGTGGGTCTCCAAACTTTCTAAACAAAAGGGCCAGTTTACTGTTCTTCAGAACTTAGGGGGGCTGGAATGTGGCCAATGAGAGTAGAAAATGTCTCGGCATTAGTGGGAGGAATAGTGCCCCATGTTTAGTATTAGGGGAGGAATAGTGCTTCATCGCCGATGTCAGTGGGAGGAATAGTGGCCCAAGGGCTGGAAAAAAGGAAGGAAAAGGGCCACATCTGTCCCCCAGGCCACGGTTTGGAGACCACTGGTCTAGGCTCAAAAGGAAATGCAAATACCTTAACAGATTAATTCACTAATGGAATACTGGAAAATTGCTATTGACAATCAGCTACAACAATGTAGGTACACAATGGAAATTAAAGTGTTACTAAACCCACATCAGTAAAATCAGTAGAACCTGAGAGGTTAATCCTCTGCATTGTGTAAAAAGGCTATTTGATCCTGTCTTCTCTGATCCTCTCTTATTTTACAGTCCCCAATCTATTTGCTGATAGTATAGAGCTCTAGGAGTCACTCTGCACACGCTCTGTTTTGTGTGTATTACTAGTTTTTTTTTTCTTTGAGAGGGTGCATGTGATTAGCACAGGGCCAACCAGCACTGTCCAGAGAGAGGGTCAGGGGTTAGGAAGCCTTATAGGACAGTCAGAGCAAAATGAAAACTCCTCCTACAAGCTTTAACTAGTGCTCAGCTGGACACTGATAGAAGGTAGAAGACTGCTATATACTGCTGTTATCATTCCATGTTCTGTGCACTGTGGGAGACCAGATATTGTGACTGCAAGGTCATGGGTTTAGTAACACTTTAAAATGAGAAAACCCGTTATGCAATTCTAATGTGTGTGAAAAAAAAAAAAAAAAAAAAAAACGCACACAATATTACATAATATCTAGAGTTTTCTAATGTAGCCAGCTTTCCAGTTACTGGTTGAGCTGGATTCTTGGTGGGGTCACAACATATTTGTATTTGCTTGTGCCTTCTGTTTAGAAACATACAAAAAAAAAGGAAGAAGAAGAAATGCATAAAGGGCATAGTTGCCTGTTAGAATTTTGCCACAACAGAATGGGTGGTGCTTGTGTTCAATTAACTTACCAGTCAACAACTCTGTTGGGACCCTGGCACTGAGGTTGGAGTTTCCAAACTGGATTCCTTAGTGCACTCCCTTCTTGACCACACTGACAGGTACATAGACGAGAAGTTTTGCAGTTTAGTGGGTGGAGCCTGATGAGGGACCCGAGACACTAGTTCCCCATCAGGCCCACCCCGGCTCTTGATGGACGGCATGTAGCAGTGGGTAGATCCATAGCTCCTATTAACTCCAATTGCAGCTTTAAAATTTGCCGACTGCCAATCACAATAAGGCAGACCTGATTGGGGGAACTAGTCTCTCAGTTCCCCAACAGGCTCCACCCACCTAATGACACGTTATTTCCCAAATATGGGCATTGCCATCCCCCTATCCCAGACCCCTTTGCTTACATTTGTTGGCGGCAGTTAGAACTACCTGAATTTGGTGGTTACTGAACCTGGCCAAAAGGTTTGCCCAGTTTAGACGCTTTATTGAATTCCTCTTGATGCTGCAATACAAAGTCAGCCTGCTTTACTGCTGCCAGTAATCTGTAGATTAAAAGACTGGAAATTGCTAAATTACAACAGCTTTCATTATAATACCACCTTGTAAACCTGCCACGGATGGACCTTGTTCAGGCACTTCCTGTTATAGGGTGACAACACTCTGCTCCTGGCTCACAAGCACTCTCTGCATTGTCACCCTGTTACAAGTACCTAGTTTCTCCAGAGACTATAAGCTGCCATGCCAATGCTTACTGCACAGCCAGTTATCATCAGAAAGCCTTCTTTAAAATAATTCTAAAACATTTTTTGTTTTTTAAATAGGAAACAT